CATCCTATGGGTAGCATATAAACTAAACATTTAAATATCTAGTAAACAATGGACTTAATAATAACAAGTGTTAATGTTGTCGTTAATTTTCAATACTATTTTCGATAATTTATATAGATTATATATAAATTAAATTATAATTATTCATATTTATAAATTATAAATATTTATATAATTATATATACATTTTATATTATTATTATAAAATAATAATATTAGGTTATGATCAAATATTTCTAAATTAAACTCATAAACTTGTTTCACGTGATATTCAGTTGAATGATTACAATATATTACTATCTATATTTAGTTATATTATGTAAGTATAAAAGCAAGTTGAAAATATATTGTTTATAAAGACATTTGTCTAAAGGCGTGCTTATACAAATAGTATACACCCAGCACAGCAATAATTTATGAAAAATTAAGTTAAAACTTATCAGTTATCATCAAGCCTTAGCATCAATATTTACCAGTGTAACCCTACCAATACCTATATGTATGTATGTATAAGAAATAACACGGCCGTTATTGTATAACAGTTTCTTGTTCACTGGGGGAATATCAAGACCTGGGTTTTCCCACAACATAAACCAGTGTGGAGGTAGGCATACGCGTACAGTCTACCCTATAGCTAGTGCTAGACAATAAATTAGAACCAATTTGCTACTCGTACACGGCCTAGTAATAGTCGGAATTAAGGAAGCCAGATGCGAGGAGGTCATATAATATCCAGAAATTTCACCCCTTCGAGTATAGCGTCCTGCGATATGCACAAAAAAATGTACAATATATATTGTACGCATTTGCATTTTTATGAATATGAAATTAACGAGATATTAAATTTTATAGGCTTAATTTCAGACCCTCAAACTCGGTAGGTACTTATACAATATTTGTAAACTGCAGTCGTGCAGTGCAGACCCAACAATATATTATAACATCAGTATAATATGATGTATAAATAAAATTATTTTTTTATTTTTATTTTTATTTTCTATAGTTACGACTAACGACAAAGCCACTGTCGTGTAAACTTAAACTTAGAAGTAGATAATAAATACACGCAACTATTTTGTACATAATAATATACTAAAAAAAAAATTATATTTCTGTGCCTCGAAAAAGTTAGCCGTGATCGCTTGCGCATTTATGCGATTCGAACTTAAGGCACCCGGTGCCAATGCCATTTTGCCCTAAAAATTACACTCTGCGGGAATAACGATACCGCCTTGTAGAATCAACCAAATTTCATAATTTTTTTTTTTAATTGCTAAAGGGAAATATTCTACAACCCACGTCGATCTCTGTTTTTCAATATTTTATTCTCAAACTTTATAATATGTCTAAAAAAATACAAGATAAAAAGCATTTTTTTACAAATTTTTTAATACAATTATTTGAAATAAAATACAAATTCAGAGATTGATGTGGGCTGTAGGAAGTTTTCTTCTTTCAGATAAAAAAATAGTCATCAAAATCCGACAATTCTACAAATCTTGAGAGTTATCCCGTAAAGCCATTTTTTTTCGATATAATACACGCTCTATCAACCCCCCCTAAATAGGTATCGGTAGTAGATTAGTGGAAATGTCTTAAAAATTGAGGTGGCAAGAGGCAACCAAAATATAAAATTTAATTTTCATATTTTATAGAATTGTAGAAAATTTGAAAAACTGCCATCGGGACCCTTCAGAGTATACGTATACAGATCTTCGAATGTAATGACTAATAAATGATTATTAATTTAAGTTATAACAAGCAACCCATAACCCCATAGTCTTATTTTATATCATAAAATATCAAAACAATAAATGTTAACCATTACCCACAAACCGACAAACCCATTACTTAAACACCCAAGTATCTACCAGGCATAAAGCATTTTTGAATTATACATAAACCATGTGTATATACATGTATAATTATATAATATAAATCAGTAAATTCAAATTGTTGAGAAACGCCAAAGTAAAAACGAAACAAGGGCATTTTAAGCGACGACTATTCATACGGGTATTATATTATATAGACAACGGATAGGGACGCCGTAGAAAGATTACCAATTACCATTTAGTATCTACCACTTTACTACCATAAGCCTTAACCTATGCAAGGCTGGGCATTAACGAGTTAAAAAGTTAGTTACGTTAAAAAGTTAATTTTGTTTTAACTTATTAACTTAACTAGTTACTTTTGGCTTTTCATTAACTTAACTGTCAACTTACTAAATGTCTTTTTTAATTAACGTGAAATTAACGAATTTATTTACAACTAGCGTTGTATTAACAAATTAACTATTTTTTAACTTAAAAAAAAGTTTAAAAAAAAGTGTGTATTAACTTTTAACTTTTTGTTATTGGTGCATATTAACTTAATTTAACTGAGTTAAAAAAAACCATTACCTTGCCCAGCATTGAACCTATGCATAGAAAAAAGCAAAAAAAACTAACAAAAATAAAAACCTCATTATAATATTAATACAAAATAATATTGTATTATAACGAATTAACGATAAAACCACTTTGTTATTAAATGCACTATGACTATGATGCGTATAGGCACCTATATACCGACTGTATCATATTAATGTATCATACATATTTATACATAATATAAAGTAGTCATGGTCGGACGAGAGTTTAAATATCGTATTATAATGGTTGCAACTGTTTAATATATTATACGCATATACCTACAATCACACACACACACACACACACACACATCACACACGGCAATTCATACATAACATGTGTGTGTGTGTGTTATACAATATGATGATTGACAATGCATCCCTCAGCCCGAAGTATAATAATAATAATACGTGTTTTTGGCACATCTGCTCAACTTTGACACTGTATGGCCCAGGGCCGCCTCGCATGGGGTCACAGCCGCCGCCCTGTCTTCCACGCATATATTATATTATTATATACCCTTCCATTATTTTTACATTTCGTACACCGCCGCGTTAACACAAAACGCGCTCTCGACGGGGTCGCGACTCGCGTGACGATGTGCAGCCAATTCGATATTGTACAATGTACCTATATATATAATGCGTGATGGCGCGAAATAAAATATCCCAAACCGAAAACACGACGGGCAATCTGTCGACGGGAAAACTGAAAACCCATCGTCGACGCTATTATAATTATTATTATTATTATTATTAATGCTGTTGTCGGTTGTTGTTACTTAAGTGAGGGGTGCCATTACGTTATTGAGTGAGGTGACTGGCGAGTAATAAACAGTAAGCTATATAATATGAGGCACAAATCGTATACGGATCGGAGAGTGACTGCAAAGCGCGATCGGCTGGGATAGTGGTTGTGTAATTGACACTTTTCCATTGTACAGCCATCGAAAAGTGCCGACTAAAATTAATACTCGTAGTCCGTAGGTTTAGTCAGATTTTAAAAGGGGCCTTCATTTTTTTAAACAAAGGTTACATTTAAAAAACCAAAAAATTTGCATTACTTGGAATCATTGGCATAATTGGAATCCAATATTTAAATATCAACAAATATGTTGACGCATATTTCATAATAAATTATTGATATCTTTATTATTGTTATTACTCTTTATCTAGAAATATTGTTATAATATCGTATTATCATTTATCACCGTTATCTACCGGGGATCGATGTAAATTATTATACTCTGTTCAGGTTAAGAGTCCCCAAACTCGAGCATTAATACTGAAGATACATGCGCGAACAGTACTAGTTTTCGTCCGAGCGACTGGGCACTCTTAACCTGAACCGAGTATAGATTTCATTATTTCAGACTGCAGTGTGTGTCTAACCGTGTAAATGTACACTGATAAATTATTGAATATACAAAATAGTTAAATTTTAATGAATAAAAAAAGAACCTATACATTCACTAAATACCGACAGCAACAAAATCGTTGTATAACACACTTTAAAATAATAATATTTATTAAACGTTTTTTTGGAGGATTGGGAATTATTTTTATTTAGTCTTCATAGAATATACATATAACATATTATATAATATATACGTAGGTTACTTTTATTAAAGGTAATTTATGCAACATTTTAATCCAATCATTATATTAAATGTTATAAAAACTGCAAGTCTCGAAATAATAACATGGGTATTTTACTTAAGAAATTTAGTTGTCATGTAACTCAACTCGTGCAAGGCATACAATATTACAAAACATAATTAGGTACTTTGTTCAACCAAATTATTATAGGTTTACGATATACCTACTTATACTTTAAAATCTTGGAAAATGCATAATGTATTTAAAAATATGTCTATCTAATGAGTATCTAAAGAAAACAAAGATCAAAATGTTTGGTCAAATAAAGTGAAAAACTATATAGTTTCTGCCATCTGTTGACTAATATTTGAACTACTTGTGAATAATAATATAAATTTATACAAATAAATAATAGAATAATAGGAAAACGTGTTTTTTTCAAATCTTAATAATTTTATTAGTGCCATAGAAAGTTCACCCTTTTTTCTAAGATGACAATAACAGTATTAAAGATGAAGACTTAACAATTATACTATTGTATACTTTAATGTATCATGTATCCCATTAAAATATTATTTATTATAGTTACACAGTGCCCAATGACTTTTGACATTAATATGTCTTTTGGTTACAAATAAGACTTTTGGTCTATTTGAAATTGGTAAGACTCTTATTATTGTCACACTTGTTATTGGTTGCTAAACAAATTTCTTTTTAAATTACTTGCAGTTTAAAATCCAATGTTTTTCCCCACATGGAATAGGTTTGTGAGTATATTTTGTGTTTCCGTTATACCCAGTTCAGTAACAGTAAAATTAGTTAGGTATAAAATTACAATTATTTTCCAACTAAATAAAACAATATGGATATATGATATATCTAACCTTATTGATAACCTAAATACATTCTACATATTATAGTTGTAAATTATGTCATGTTTACTAATTACTAGTGTTCACCAGTTATAGTAAGATAAATTCTTAAATCAGTTAAATCTATGTATTGTTAAATTACAAATAGTTTTACCTGCAGGACAAAATCTGCCTTCTGGACCATCATAGAGATTAAGGTTTGTGTTTACAGGAATGGAGTCGTCCAATAATGTTAAATGGGCTGGTTGATCTCCTTCGTGGTTTGTGCCAGTTAATGCAACAGAAGACAAAATATCAAAGCTAATTTTTCCATCAGGTTTTGGATAATCGATAACAGAAACTTCAGTCTTTGTTTTCAGTCTCTCATTATCAGGAACTTACATGTATTAAAAAAGTATATATTAATAACAAACAATCAAGTAAATAAAAAAATATTAAAAAAAAATTATATGAATACCTCCATGGCTTAATGTCCAAGGTTCCTTTCCTTTAACAGCAAGTGTAAATCCAGAATATGCCATACCTCCAAATAGTCCAAGCTTTGTGTGGAAAGATGGTCGAACATTTCTTACTTCTTTCAAATCTGACCATATCCAACTGCCTTTTACTTTTTCTTCATAGTCTTTAGGTTCCAAGCCTTTATGATGTAATAAATATATTTATATTTTATATTTTCATACAGGTTATATAGTATATTATTATAAGATAACTTTTTCAAGGCTGAAAAATTGATTTTTGAGTTCCTAATAACTATAGTAGTCACTTGATAGTTAGAAAAACTCCATAAATCGAATTAATTGCTGAGTCCCCTGAGAAAACCTCTATAATTAGAAAAAAATACATGTATTCCGGTCCCCTCAATAATTCAAAATGTCTGTCGGTGGGACCCACTCTACAATTCAAATTTTTTTTCACGAAGCTATAATTTGAATTTCCTTAAATATGATTATATGTAAATTCATATGTATGTACATATAAAAATTATGTACCATCTTTTTGACGTACTCATAATGCAACTAATAACGACGGTGGTTAAATATTATCATAGTTTATAAATGTTATTGTACCTTACCTACCTAATCTAAACTTTAATCATATTATTTTACCAAAATAAATCTCTGGAATGGGTAAACCGTTATTGAAATCGAATAAAACATAGTCAGTCGCAATATCGGTTCTGTCAAGTGTTTGTCGATAGCCGACAAAAAAAAAAGTGATCGCAGATTATTCAAACACTCGGTAAATTTAAAACCTCTATAAATCGAATTTTTAACTCGGTCTCCTGAATTTCAAATGTCGAGTGACTACCATATTTAATTTTAATTGTAATACTTATCTAAGTCCTAGCATATTCATCAGTATTTTAATAGATAATTTTAATAATTATTATTTAAGTACTTAATAATTTAACAAAACATTATTTTAATACTACTCAAATATTACCTTCGAAATAAGTTGGCAATCATTTATGATTTACTAGATTTTTGCTTGCATAAAATATGATTATAAGTAATTTGTTAGGTATAACAGATGTGTTATACAGTGTGAACTATATTTATACGTGGAGACCAAATAAAAAAGTAATTATTGATTATCGAAACCCACCTCCAAATAAATTCCTGGGTATGCTTATGAATTACAATATACAGAAATAAAAATTATTTACCAGCAGTTTCGCTTGTTACAGATGTATTAAATATTGTGTCAAAAGTTGATTCGGCAGCAAGCATGCCAGATTTCATTGCATAATGAGTACCTTTGATTTTTGGTACATTTAAAAATCCAGCTGTACAACCAATTAAAGCACCACCAGGAAAAGAGAGTTTTGGAATAGACTGAAAACCTCCTTCATTAAGAGCTCTAGCACCATACGCAATCCTGTGTAAAATAAATTAATATTTTTTTTTATTTATTGATTATATATTTTTAATATACTATCTATTTATTGGTAATATATTATATATAAGTAATTATTATGAATTAACCTTTTACCATCCTCAAACAAAGGTTGGACATGAGGGTGATGTTTAAATCTCTGAAACTCTCTAAAAGGAGATAAGTATGGATTACTATAATCAAGTCCAACAACAAATCCAACAGCAACAAGAGGAGTGGATTCGTTCAAATGATAAATAAAGGAGCCACCATAAGTATTTTTGTCCTAAAATAAAAATAAAAATTTCATTTAAGCATTTAAAAATATAAATACAGATATTAATGTATTTCATATTTTCATATGAAAAATAGGTGACACAATTCAAACATATGATAACATTAATATTTTATTACCATAAAATAAATAATTGGTAAATAGTAAATACATAATAATACAATTATTTATATTATACAAGCTTATTTTATTAAAACTTCTTTTGAAAAGAATTGAGTTGACTGATGAAAATGACAAGTATTTACGGTTATTTATTTTTAAATTATAACAAAATAGAAAATTGTTTCTGTGTATTTTCAAAATTATTTATTTTCTGTAAGAAAAATTTACTTAGAAACTTGTATTAAATTTTCAGTCTTTTACACACCAACAAAAATTTGATCACACACAAATCAAAAAAAAAAAAAAACTTTGAAAAGTCAAAGATATCTAATATCTAATAGCACAAAAAGAGCCAAAATATTTTGAAAATGATATCATATCTACTAAATGCTAACGTAAATATTCATTTGGTGAAAGGTTCAAGTGTCTACAGATATTTATTTTCTAATTACAACAATAAACAAAATCAATTTTATCAAAAGCTGGTTTGACATTCAAGTTTTTCCCTAACTTTTGTTTTGTTTTTAACGATTATTTTGAAGAGTATTGAGAATTTTTACATTTGATCTCCCTAAAGTACTAACTAGATCCACTTTTAAACCACTCTTGAAGTGGCAGATTAAAGCATTTTTCCTACAATAAAACGTGTACAGTGTACACAGACATAAAACAACATACACATTATAAATCCAAAACATTAAGCGATTAAACACTCGACTTTTGAAACAATTTCTACAAATTAAGTTTAAATAAATGGAGAATCGTTCAAAAAACAGTAGGTGTTTCATTAATCCCAAAAAATAAGTAAGTAATAAAGTATAATAGTAGAAAAAACAATTGATACCCATTTTCTGAAGTAGGTATTAGTTTAATATACATTTACTAAATAGTAAATGTCAAGTTGTATAAAATAATTAAATATCAATGTTAATAATGCACAATGATTTCATTTTACTGATTAATATAAATTTATTTGAGTGGTTTAAATGAAACCCTTTTAATAATGAAATATGTACAAACTCAACAACTTTCATTAAACATTCCATAGTAAATTTGAAATTCAAAAAAAGGAAAAACAACTTCACATGTTGTATACAAACATACTATCTACCCTCTACAGAGTACTTCTTTTAAATGAGTTGGTTATAATACAAAATATTTATTGATTTTGTTGTATTTTCTATTATATCATTTGAAGACTTCAAGTGGTACATGTTTTATTTGTCTAATGTTTATTTGCAATACTAATACTAAAATATTTATTTTAAAATGAATAATACATTAATCATCCTGTATTCCATAGGCTACTTTTAAAGGACTATAATACTTTACAACTTACTGAAAATGCATAAACATCAATTTCGAAATAGTTTATTAGAAAAAAAGTCATCGATACTATTGCAAAATGGCTACGGATAATACACCTAAATATTTAAAAAACTCTATTAGTGATATTTTTTCCAATAAACATTTTAAAAAGTTATCTAAGGTAGTAGTTATAATAATTATAATTTCACTTCTCATTTACTACTATTGGAAATTTACATGGATCGTATCCGAAAATAAAGATTCAAGAATTAGTATACTTCTATACATGACGTATGTAACTTTAAATATAATATTGATCATAGTATGTTTCTTCAATATTTTTATGGGCCATGATATTTATAAAAGTTTTACTAAAAACATTGCTTACGTTGATTTTCTATCAAAAAACCTAGAATTGAGTTACAAGGACAGTGTTATTACATATATCAATTTCAAGACTCTTTTACTCATCATCTCAACAACAGTCAGTTACATAATACTTTATCATCTAGCATTGAATGAAAATGATTTCCCATCAGTCGATTTTACTGAAATGGTTTGTATACCTATAGTTTGGATACTTGTACTTCAAATAAATGCAAAATTAAATCAATTATCAAAACGATTCAACTACATAAAAAACATACTAGAAGCTTACATGGAAAAATCAAAGAGTGTTTATTGGATTCACTGGTATACAGTCAGACCAAAGGAGATAACTGTATTAAACCGTATGCATTTATTCACATACATATCATTTATAGAAGTTTGTTCATATTACAATATTCAACTATTGGTATTGGTACCAAGAGTGATATTTTTTAATGTATTGCCAGTACATTACAATATAGTGACAGCACTCGTGGCCGACGAACGTAATGTATCACACAAATGGTCTCAAATGTTCACTTTGTCCGTCATTATTCTAACAATATGGCCAATTATTCATCTGGTAAAATGTACAAGCAATACCTTTGAAAAAGTATGAAATATTATAAATAATAAAATATTCACATAGCATGCTTACGTTTACTAATTAAGTGACCGCCACAACAAAATCAGTTTTCTGTTGTGTGTGTATAGCAAAACAGTTATGCTTACCAACATTTAGACTCTCTGGCTCAGTTTAGAGCAAAGGAACCTATAATACATTTTATAAAGAAGAAGAATTTCTGTGGATTGGCAGGATGGTTTTTTAATATTTTCATTTCAAGATAAACATATTTTAATTTAACTTAATTTTCCTTGTGTTTAACCATTACTAACTATTAACTACAAACAATAAAAATATTAACGACCTTCCGGTCAATTCATAGGATTTACCTATTCTTGTATAATCTAAATAATAAAATAAAACATATAATAGGTCCCTTCATCAAAAAATAAACCAGATTCGTAATCGTGGAAGTATGGAATACCTTTCTTGCTATATTACATAAATCAAATTGATATCAATTTAAGTTAATGTTAACTCATAAAAACAATATTATTCTGAAAAGCAATAATTAATTTAATTTTTCTCACTTATAGGGAGCACAAATAACGCAGATAATTCACAAATTGTTGGATATGGGACTAAAGCAAGATATCGAAGATGAAGTAAAACAAGAATATCTAATTTAATTTGAAGTATTTCAATTAATAGCTTATAACAACTTATTATATTTTCAGCTGTATTTATTTTCTGAACAAATATTAAAAAGACGACTACAATTTTCAGTAAAAGGATTTTTTATTATTAAACCTTCACTTGTTGCTTCAGTATGTATGTTTTATTTTAGTATAATTATTATTTAATGTATTGCTTGAGTATAAAATATTCACTGTTTTATAAAATTTTAGATGATGGAGTTGATTATTACATACGTAATCATTCTCTTGCAATTTCAAGATTCATTAAAATCTATCTCTCCAGCTCAATTTTTAGTTAAGCCGAGAACTTTCTGAAAACAACTTACTAATGGCCAGCCAACAGTATGTTCTACTTTTCCAGGACTGTGATGTTCAGGTTTTACTTCCCATATTTCCTTAAGACCAAGACCATATGATTGTGGTGCACAATTTTCACGTAGATTGAATTTTTTAAATAATTGTTTGGTAAGATGACCATGACAACCTTCAGCAAATATGGTAATTTTGGCATGCAATTCCATACCGCGTTCAAAACTTTCCTATAAATGGAATAGTATTTTACATTTAATTTATAAATTTAATTATATTTTAAGGAGATTGCAAATGGATAGTTTTTAAGGAATTAAAAATAGGCAATTTTCAAATTGCATGAATGAAATTTTTGTAAATGTATGAGTTGTAAGTGAAAATTAATGTGTGTGACTGTAGACTAGTGTAGAGTAGAAGAAATAGAGGATCGCTTCCGTATACACAAGTCACCGCCTTGGCTTTGCGCTCGTGAACAGTTAACAGTTAATGCTAATTTGTATGTACTTTTTGTCAATCCTACTATACTCTATTCACAATGAGATCATTACTCAGCGGCCTAGTTGTGCGCATGGGAGTGGCTTTGTTTCATAACAGCGCCCGACGCGTTGCCATAGTGAAGATGGTGTCTCACCATATGTCTGACCGCCGCCCGACAAAAACTGGTCGCCGCCGAGTAATGATCTCATTGTGAATAGAGTATAGTGGATCTGATAACATGATAAGACTTCTAAAAAATGATTTAAATTCATTAATAAAATCGATCAGTTCACATTTTAAGATATTTAATTTAAATTTCAAATAATCAACATTTAAAAATAAAACAAATTTTAAATATTTAAACAAAATGTATAGAAGGTTTAGGAACAACTTTTTTAAAAGTAGCCTGATCGTGTTATCAGATCCACCGATATGATTGACAAAAGATTGGTACATTTTGGTTGTACATTTGCAATCTCCTTAAGCTATAGTTAATTAATAGATATTTAAATACTTTAGGTGATCCATCTTTGGCAATTCCAACATCACCCGTTGCAACTCCTTTCACCGAACCATCATCATGATATAGGACTTCTGCAGCAGGATATCCTGCATATACTTCAACACCTAAGGATTCGGCTTGTTCACCAAGCCATTTTACTAAATGGCCCAATCTCACAATATAATTTCCATGGTTGTCCATTGGCATACCTATTGTATACATATTTAATTAATTTAAATCAGCACTAAGATAAATAAATAAATATAACACATCAAATATTTATTACCAGGTAAAATAGGTATAGGTATACGACTACTTTTAGTGAGATACCCAAACTTATCATCTTTTACTGGGGTAGTTAATGGTGCACCCAAATCTTTCCAATCGGGAAATAGTTCATTCAAGGCAATTGGATCAACAACAGCACCAGATAGAATATGATTACCTGAAATAAATAAAAAAAAAAATTATACAATATTAATAGGTACTTCTTAAGTCCATAATAATTCTAATTTATGTTTCAAGCGGTATTTGGACAGTCCCCCTATGGATTTTAGCGGTACTGGACGTTTCCTCCTGGACTGAGATATTTCCCCCATGAATCAATTTATATTTTTTTTACACATAATGATGATTGGAAAATAAGTTCTTTGGTCTTACCCAAAATATACTATAATCATATCAATATCGACTATCTGCATTCACGTTATGGATTTATTACCCAATTAAATGGGTAATGATTGATAAAAGTATAAAACCAAAGTCATGTGAAAGTATTATTGAAATATATTTATATATTAATTAAACAATTATTTAATAAAAAATCTCTTAAACAGTACATTTATTTATTTGAATCATTTTGTAATTTGTACCTATATTATTGTTTACCTAATATTTTTTAATATTTATATTAGTGTATTTTGTATTGGTAATAACTAATAACTAATAAGTGTTATTATGACATATTATTGAATAATATTTATATATTAATTTGTAGGTACATTTATTGATTTGAATTGTATATTATTGTTTAATATTTATACTTTCAATTTAATGTTCAAGGGGAATTTTCCTGTGTGGGGGTGAACCGGCATGGGGGGAAACGTCCTAGATTCGTTTCAAGTAAATCAAATATTTGCAAGTCTAGATTGCTATTAACTAAGTACTTTATTCTTGTTTTGATCAATGAAAAACACTAAAATAATTCTCCAATTATGAGAATTGGAAGCAGTGATCTACTGTTTCTATCAATGATAATTAATAGAGAAATAACTATATAGCATAGGAATTAATATAGGTAATAGGTCAGGTTAGGTGTCTATACAGTATAAAATATTTTAAATAAATATTTTTTTTTTTCAATAATTGTTTATAGAAATTATCTTTTAATTTAGCTTATAGAATTACTTTTATTATTATTATTATTATTATTATCCTAGTTGCAATTTTTCAAATTTTCCGCAATTTAGTTGCTACCTCAATTATAATACTTTTTCACTTATCTACTACCCGATACCTATTTAGGGAGGGGGGTTGATAGGGTGTATTATATTGATCAAAACACACTTTACAGGAAAAACTCTCACACCTCGTAGATTGGTCCGATTTCCGTAATTCTTTTTTTTTAGATAGAGGAATATTTTTTACAGGGAGCATTGGACTTCAATTTTTGATGACGTTGCTAAAAACAAAAAATAATACAAAAACTAAAAAGAGGTAAAAATGGATTAAATGTTATATAAGATTTAAAAAAATAATTTTGAAAATCCAAGTCCAATAAGTCTCGCAATAAGTCTTCTTCCATCTAACAAAAAAAAAAATACGCAAATCGAACCAATCTACGAGGCGTGAGAGTTTTTCCTTTAAGGCATGTTTTTGAGCAAAAAAACAGGTCACGCGCAGGCCCCTTAAGGTTGTAATAATGGACATTTTAAAAGTTGTTATAATCAAGACTTCAAAACATAAATGTTTAAAAGTTTTTATTCAATAGATAAAACAAAATGTAAAATTATTAAAGTCTTACCAACTTCTGAAGCTTTTTCCACCACACAAACCCTTAGTTCCTTGTTATTTTCAGTTGCTAACTTTTTTAACTTTATTGCAGCTGATAAACCAGCTGGTCCACCGCCAACAATTACAACGTCAGCTACATCCTCATAACGTTCCATTGATATATCTATATAATACAACATTAAGTATGATTATAAATAAATTAAACTAAAAACGAAGCAAGTACCTTTCCATCTTTGGTCGGTTTCTCGTGGACGCACAGTATAATGTGTTGTAATTTTTGGTGAAGCAGCTGAATATAAACGGAAGCATGATGTTCCCACTTTTCGAACTAAAAGTTATTTTATTTAAAAACATTATAGTTAATATGTTGTTATTTAAAATTTCAATGATATAAAATTAGTCAACAAATTATTCATCAAAATGTAATAATAAAATCTCAATCAATTATCATTCTTAATAAAATGTAACTATCTATAAACACATTATCCAAGTACTTTTGATAAACATATTAACAATTTGTTTACCTGTTGTAATAAATATGTTACCTTCATAGGTAATAAACTTATACTTATATCCTTCAGCTAATTAACAATTTAAAATTGATTTTTCCTCTTAAATATACATATTTTATGTTGGTTTTATTATTGTCAAGTACCTACAGTATACATTATAATATAAAATATCAGAACTGTAAAATACACAGCTATAGTATTCAAGAGTACAAAAGTTAGACTTATAGATAAATAAAATGATTTTATAAATATATAATTTATATAGCTTAATGTAAGAACTTAAATAAATTATTTACTGTTTATTATTTATTGAACTAAATAGCTTAGAACAAAAACTTTTCTTTAAATTATAATTTTCAATATTTTGTAATAAGCAATGAAATCAATCCGAAATTTTTAAAATTGACCTTGTACAGTTCTTTCAAATACAACAAGTAGGTATTTAGTACTTACGTAATAAATTTGATGTTGTGGCCATCATCTTGAGTTTTTGGTCTTTAAGATTTTTAAAAACATACAGAAATCACTGTGATAAATTCAACAACGATTAAACTTAAAACTTTACTGATGTATGAACTGAACTTTAGCTACTTCCGTATTCGATTCTGTGAGACTATCGAGTATCGTTGTAGAGTTTAGTTCGATAATAAAAACGATAGACATTGCCCATTGGCCTCGTTTTGAAATGGTATTTAATCACATAACAATAATTTTTTAATCAAGGCTTGTTTACAAGGAGTTATCACCGAATAGAGAATAGATTACACATGGTGGTGTAATCACAGTTATTGTTCTGTAATGATATCAGTTTCAATATGTAATAACAGCTGACTACAAAATATATACCAATGGTGTACATTGACCGGGCCTTAGAAGATCTTCTACACTATCCCCAGTGGCGCATTTAAGGGGGGGGCAACCGGGGCAAATGCCCCTGGCTCCAAATTTGAGGGGTGGGAAAATGTTTATAGTGATCCATTACCTATATGAGAACATTTAAAAAAAATTTTTCTTTTTTTTAAAACTAACTAAAATGACAACAGCAGACATATATAATATATACCTATATAGTATATCATATATATCTGCTGAGCTTTTTAAAAAATGAATACTATACAGATTTGGGAACTTAGTTTTCCAATGAATGTATTAATTCGGCTTTTATTTAAAAACCATATCCAATTCTCCTCCAAGTATACAAAACATCTTAGTGCTTATAAGAAAAAATTATTTAAAAGATATCTTACCTCAAACTTGGGAGCTACTAGTAAAACTGCTTCCATTTTCTTCAACAGTTTGAACCCCTAAACCCCCCCCCCCCTGTATACGGGCCTGTATTATACTACTATATAGAAATCTGTGTACTGTCCTAACTCCTAGACGTCCAGTGTGGGCTTGTGGCAGTGTCCAGAACTCAGGCCTGGGTCTCATAAGGAGTATGAACAGTATTGAAAAATTTTTATATTTCCAATTATAATATGGTTTATTGAGCGGTTTGACTGTTTGAGAGTAAATACACCTATTATCAATATTGTAGAAGAGAACTAATCTATGGCCCGTAGGTATAAAAGTTAATTTTCGATATTTTAATTACTAAACTCAATCACTCAAATTCAAAAAGTTAAATATCACAAGTTTTACAGCTAAATATTGGACATTTAAAATCAAATATCGAAAATCGACTCTTATACAGACCTAGATAAACTTCTACTCTTCAATATTTTGTATAATAAGTGTTCATACTGTAAAGTCACTCAGTAATCTATATTATTGGAAATACGAAACTAAGTTTCAGTGTTTCACTAAAATTCACATTTGTAATATGTGCCGCTTTATTGACATGTGCGGGAGCTCTCTGCTATTTATTTTATACACAAGTCATTCACACTCATAATCATTTACTGCGCACACATTTACACGACTCACATGCATTCAAATAGAAAATTACCTATACTAAACTCCTTAGAAACGGTCGGTATTGATACCCCATAGTGTCCGTACGGTAGGTATACCAAACTGTAGAGAAATAGAGCTTAGTCTATAAAACTAATATTAATATATTAATTTCTTTATAATATTATGCTGTCTAATAAAAATATTTGATGATTTTGAATATTGAATAATGTTAAATGATTTTTAAAAATCAAAATAATTTATACTTGAACAAAGTCTGATGTTTTGATTTTTCAACGCGGATATGAATTTCCAAATACTTGGATGGCATTGATTTAAAATTGAAGTAAAACAATTATGCATGTATGCACCTATGTGTGGTTGATTATTTTAACTTTAGTACTAATATAATGACGGCCTTTTTTTAAAAAATAAAAGACAAAGTTTTTAACTATACGTCCATACCTACATCAAAAATATTCGTAGATAGTACTAAGTCCGTGATCTGAGTTAATATGGGAAGGAAAATGTTAAATTTGAAAATATAATATACATGTGCGGTGAATCAACGCATAATGAATTGACGTCGCGATAAGTTGACGGCGCAATAAATTGACCACGATGAATTAAAGTATCCATAACCATTTTGTTTAGTTTCCTGAAAAGTAATCTTTTTTATAATATCCTTTTACCCTCGTGCCAAAAATATTATGACTATTCATTATGTTATTATAAAGAATCTATATGGTCCTTTATACAATTATACATCAAGATTATCTAGCCTGGATGATAAGCGCAGCGCCTACTACTCAGTGGCGGATACGAGGGAGGGGCGAAGGAGCGTTCGCCTTAGGCTGTCCTTTTAACGTTATTTTATATTATAATATGTGGCTAAACAAAAAAGTAATTTACTTTTGATAATTCACCCCCCCCCCCCCTCCTTGGATGACTTCTGGATCCGCTACTGCTACTACTGTCGAGTTGTTTCGAACTTCAAATCATAATAATAATTTATAATAATTATAATCGTCCGCACTCGTGAAGAACGGCCAAGGCTGCCACTTTAGTAGTTTAGTCACAATAGACAGGCGCTTTTGTTATGAATTGTGTACTAAATTAATTTATAATTTGCAGGTGTCCGTACTTCAGTTCAACAAATCAAACCATTTTATCTGTTATAGGCAAAGGGGGGACTGCCCCTTAAAATTATATTTAACTGAGTGGGAAATAGTGTAATTTTACCTCAATGATTTTAGTTTTACACTTTTGAAACGCAGTTTGCCCCTCTAAGAATTTATCCCAGATAACGCCTATATGATATAGGTATATCTTACACAATATTTTGGTCGAGACTCGAGATAGTGAGAGACTGCAGCCGTTCAATCTTTATTTGAAAAACTAAAACAGCTCGAATTTGTCTATATAAATCTCAGTCGTACCTATGTGGATTTATCAAACATCAAACGTCATTGGTAGCCAGCTATATATAAAATAAATAATAATGTGTTTTAAAACTTTTTGTATAATTAAATGACAGTCATGTATAGTAATGATGAGTAATGACAATTTATTTCATGGTGGGGAAAGTAAATAATTGATCCCTTATATCAGAACATTTTTAATGTCTCATCGTAAAATACAAATAAAATAACATTTACATTTTACCTACTTCCTAAGTTTTGAAGATCTGGTTTATAAAATCGACTAGGTAAGGAAAAAACTTCAAAAGTTCATAAAAAAAAAGTAGGTAAGTAGATGTTGCTCTGCTATACAGTAGGTTACAACTTACAAATGGGTCACTGTAATGGGTGATGTTAAATTTGAATTCATTGATATAACATCATTGTACAAGGAAAACGGTCAGTCACTAGTCAACGAGTCAGCCTATGATATTAGTATATTACTAAGTATATTTGATGATATTATTGTGAATAAAGTAATTTATATAATATAACCTATTTACGTGGAACCTTGTTTTAATTTTTCAATCTCTAGCAATAAAAGTATAACTTTTTATAAATTATTAACTACAAAATAATTATTAAATTTTAAAAGTGATAAATTTTGTCGAAATTCGAACTTTTAATGCTTATAAAAATAAATTATGCCTATGCATTTTTAATGTTTTTCAACTGCTGTTGTAACAATATATTAGGAGCTTTGCAATACATTTTCACTCTCTTTTACCCAACAAATAAAATTTTATTGATATTTATAGAAAAAAAAATTAAAAAATTGAAAACTGAAAATGTTCGTAAACAGCTCAAAAAGAGTCAAAATATTTTCAAAACTGTATGGCGTATTGGAAATGCTAATATAAACATTCAGTGAAATTTTCAAGTATCTACACTCTACAGTCATTCGTTTTTTATTTACAACAAAATAAGAAAATCGTTACACGAAAAATCAAGTGAATATCAAATGTTATAAAAATATGAATTTCAAACGTTCATAAAAAATTTGATTTGATTTGCTTGTAGACAATTTTTTTTTTGAAAAAGGTAGACAAACTTATGAGGAATCTTGTATTACATTATTAAATCTTAGATTTAAAAAGAAAAATTTTTATGAATTATCAACTCTTTATTTGGTAATTTTCATGATTTTTCCGTATTTTGCCAATATTTGAACTTTAAATGCTTATGAATAAAAACTGTGACTAATGATTTTTATTATTTTTCAAATGTCATTGTAACAATATCGTAGAAGCAAGATGACATTTTCAAGCTTTTTTACCCATGGGTTGCAACAAATTATGTTTTATTGACATTCATAAAAAAAAATTTTGTAATGAAAATGTAATAATTATTATTGGACATTATATTATTACACAGGGTTTGTGAATTATTTCGTCAACGATAGCATTTTCTAGTGACATAATTCTTGTGAGCAAAACATTATTCCTCCCTCTCCCCCCTCATTATGCAATTCATTTAAACTCTTTTGTATACAATTATTATACCAGGGTTGCTTTTTTTTCTAATTTTCATTTTATTTGCTGTCTTTTATTCTCGTCTAGCGTTTTTAAGTTAATGTGTTCAGAAATAAAATTAAATTGATAAGCCACACCGCGAGCATTTTATTGGCAAGACGACCGCATTTGGTATTGTTACGATTTATTAAAATATAAATTTTAATAAAATATTTAAAATATTTAATATTGTGTAGTACGAATAGTATAGCTTTAGCCTCAGACCACGCTCGTAGACTGCCTGATAAGAACTTTTTGACGTAAGCAGGTTTTATAACATTATAATAATAATAATACATTATTCGCTAAGAAAAAAATATTTCTAATAATTATTTATTTATAATTTCTGGTCAGGTGGCAATACTTTGAGCCTTCTTATTAATGTTATTTTATGTCCAATATTCTTATGTCACCACACTTACTCACAGTGGTGTAGCCATGGGGGCTGAGGGGGCTAAATCCCCACCCCCCATTGACTGTGTTGAGCTTAGAATTGTATTAAGATTAATAAAAAAATAAAAAGTGTAAATAAAAGTCATAATATTGTAATTGTATTTTAGATTCTGAGCGGCTCGATGGACCTATTGGTTTTACAATGGTCTTTATTATTTTTTTATTTTGTATAAAAAATTTCTACCAGGAGAATTTCAACATAAAGTATCTTATTTTTTAGAAAATTGGATCAAGATGGTACTTTAAACAGGTCATTTTTTGATTTTCTTAATAGTTATTTAATGCCACTTGAAAAACCACCTATAAATTACAAATAACCGCTAAAAATGGGATTTTAATTTCTAAAGCTTTGTTTATCATCATAAAAACAAATAAAAATAAAAATAATGATTTTATTTTTTTTTTTTTTTGTAATTTATAATATTAACTCAACAACATACAGGCCTACAATAAAATATAATAACAATATAAAATATCATATCCAGACTGACAAACCGTCTCCGCTGAGAATCGTTTTTCGTATACAATGATAATAATATGATATCATTGAATTCAAATTTAATATAATCCATTATACAGTGACCCACTTGTAACCTACTGTACAGCAGAGTGACTTTTTCTATTTGAAACGAGTGCATATGGCAACTGGATCTTTCGGTACACCAGTGTCGGTGCAGGTGGCTTGCCGAACCAGTCCTGCTCTCCCAATATATTTGAGTCGAACATGTAGCTCCGTTTCATCGGCTAATCTGCGCCGGCCGAGATATCCTCATCTGTGTCCTGGACTTGAGTCCGCTGCGGTTGTGCCTCAAAATCCGTTGAGGGATCGTGTTCGCGTCTGGGCACCTCCCATTCTCTCGGAAAATAGAACTTCGCTGCTCTAAGCTCCTCAAAAACGTTCATCATCACATCCCTCTCAGCGGAAATTGACGTGTTTTGGTCCGCGTTCATGATGACAAACGATACGATTCGATATGGTTGCAATACAATATGAAACGGTTCCAAATAAACGACGGCAGTTTTATAAATAATCGAAAATCAATAATAATCACAGCTTATGTATTTTAATCAAATCTATAAAGCAACGGGATGTCTGTTGATTTGTTATAGGGTAGTATAAATATTACTCTTGTAATATATACTCGTTTCAAATAGAAAAAAGTCACTCTGCTGTACAGTAGGTTACAAGTGGATCACTGTAATGGATGGTGTTAAATTTGAATTCAATGATATAATATAATTGTATAAGAAAAACGATTCTGAGCGGAAACGGTCAGTTAGCCTATGATATTACGAAATATATTTGATGATATTAAGGTAATAAAGTAATTTATATATTTTAACCTATTTACGTGGAATCTTGTTTTAAATATTCAATCCTTATAGATATAAAAGTAGAACATTTTATAAATTTTCAACTACAAAATTATTATTAAATTAAAGAACACATCATTGTAAAATTAATACAGTTATAAATCATAATCGATCCGCTCAGAATCTAAAATCTAAAATATATCCGATACATTTAAAATTAACATATTAAATTATTATTATTATTAATTTCGTATTCAGCAGTATTCGGATAAAATATTATGATGGATTTTGTAGAAATTTTAACTGTAAATGCCTATAAAAGAAAAACGTACCTATATATTTATAATATTTTTTAACCGCTATTATGTCAACTTACGAGGACATTTTTATTATTTTGAAGCTTTTTGACTCAACTAATAACATTTTATTGACATCTACAGAATACAGAACTAAAAACATTTCAATAATTCAAGACAAGAAATACACACAAAAAAGAAAAACCACACATTGTAAAATCAATACAGCTCCGCTCAGAATCTAAAATAACGATAACAGACCATATTATTTTTATTATGTGATAACATCAATTGTGTATACAATAGAGCACTACCTATAGTGTAAATCTTTATTTTTCCGTATTTAAAAGAAATTGTACATATATATTACAGTGTAACTTTTAGTTCAATCATATGTTTATACTTTATAGGACTCAATAAGCCACTTATCCTACCTGACCTTATTACATTTAAAAATCCCCTCCCAAAAAAAAAGAAAAAAGAAAACCTATCTACAATGGTCTTGAGGTTTGTTTTGTGTATCAGTAACAAGACCTCGTGTCCGAATCTCCGATAACTTTTTTTAGTTCAAAAATATTATCCCCGCAACCCAGGAGCGGATTGTACAAGTGTGCTAGGGTGCCGTATAGCATACCGGGCCGGCTTATATGTGTGGGCCGTTTCCGACAGGACATTTGAAATTTTGAACATTTGACGATATTACTAATAAATTTATTTTTAAATACGAAACAGTTTAAAAACCACTGCTATTGATTGGTAGTTTGGTGCAATGCTGCAATAACTTCATAGTCGAACCATAAGTGTATAATAATAATAATTATTAGGTATATGTTGTACCTATATATTGTATTACAAATTTAAAAATCAGTTTTATCCACAAAAATGTAACACTTTATATGATTTGGTTGGTACATCGACCGCCAGAAAGCTATTGCTAAACTAAAACCATTGAGCGATTTGCAAATATTTATAAAAATATTGTAAGTTTGTTGAGAAAGAGTACAGAAAATATTTATATAAAGTTTATATTAAAAGTAATGAATATCGAATAATATAATAATACGACGATTCTGAAACTGATGAAGATACTTAAGAAGCACTTAAGCTGGAAAAATATGCATTGGAGTATGCCTTTAAAAGTTCAGAAATATGCATTTATATGCACTAAAAATCTAAAAATATGTATCAAAAATATGTAGATTAAAAAATAAAAATACTATAAGTAAATTTTGGAATAACAAAAAATGTCCATTCATATTATTAAAAGTTATATTTTATTATATTAATGTACCCAATTTCAAAAAATGTATAAATCAATTAAATTCAATTCAATTAATAATAAATAATAATAATAAATTAAAAAAATATCTCGTCAGTCCAGTCAGCTCATTTTAAATCTGAATATTTTAAATCCAAAGACTATTTCATACAACATGTTTTCTACTAATTGCTTAATGCGGGCTACGTACCTATACGCTCGTATAAGTACGTGTGTACTCGCTTTATCTGCTCTATACGTTTTATTTTTAATAATTTGATGTTGCGAAAACTCCCATACTGTGTAAAAATATAAACTATTGCATTTTGATCAAATTTCGGTAAAAATATGAACAGTAAAATAGAAAAACGCATAAATATGCCAAATAGTTAAAAAAAAAAACCTCAAAATATGCAACATAAAATTTCACATACTTAACCACAGTACCTTGAAATGGATTTCTATGTCACCTAGCATTAAATACTACTTAGCAAGATTGATATGAAAATTTATGAACTCACTAGCCCTGCCTATAAGTACTTGAGTACCTCCTATATGAAGTGACTAACCGAATAACTGATCGATCATCATATTTAGGATTTTATATTATATTACATTATATATCAGATCAATGGCGCATTTGAGGTAGCTGTGCCGATTGTAGCCCGTAGGTACCTATACGAAAGTAGATTCGTTAACTGTTATTTACTTATTTATTTTGCCATCACATTGTTATTATTATGACAAAGTATGTATACGATGTCGAATAAAACACAAAATTACAAAATTACAACTAGGCAGGCAAAATAATATAACGCGTACAGTCGTCGACCGCCGTATGTTTTTAGGTAGGTACGTCTGTACACTACAGTTCTACAACACACGCATCCATAATATTATTATATTATATAAATATATATATTTCGAAGTAATGGCAATTTCGTCGTCGTTTACGGGTCATGGCGCAGGTCGTGGGATTAAAAACCGTAAAAACGAAATGTATAGGTAGGTACACTCAAACACATACATAATATACATTATACATACATATATACATGTAATATAAACATTAAACATATATTTTATATTATATTCGTATGTAATATTGTTATTATAGTTATTCGACCGGAGACGACGTTTAGATGAACGTAGTATATATTATATGCGTGATATAACCTATAGAGTATACGAGAAAAATAAAATCGAGAAGAATTAATCACGCGCATTATTGTGTAATAATAAACGATGCCTCGATGTCTCGTCACTATATTACGCCTATAATAAATACATCAACACCATATTATAGTAGGTAAACGTCTTATAGTATACATTTATACATTATATTATGTAGAAGTAGAACTATGTAGCCCAATGTAGATACCTATACCGTATACGACCGTCGACCATGGACCGTGTGAAAGCCAGGCAATTGGTATACCTATCGTCGCAATTGATTAAATATATGTACTAAAATTTTTTTGGTAGTACTGATAATCAATGCTATATTGCTATTAGTTATTACTTATTACGTATTTGCTGGTACACTGACACAACGTATCTAATATCTATAATATGCGTTATTTATATATTATAAAGTATCGTAGATTTTTTTTATCTTATTCGTAACTCATTAATAATTAAAAAATATTTATTTACAATCAACATTCATATTATAGGTATTAATAATACTTAAAATGATTTCAAAATTCAAGTTTCAACTATGGGTAAATTAGCAGACATATCTGAAATCTGAATACATCAATACCTGATATTATTCATAATTAAATTGGACACACACACACACACACACACACACACACACACACACACACACACACACACACACACACAGGGGCGGAGTGGCCCACCGGGCAACCGGGACATTTCCCGGTGGCCTGGATTGCTTATACAAAATGTGGCCCATCGGCCATCATTCTATATTTCTATTATTCAATAATTTTATGATGCGTTTAATTTTTGGTTATAAATGTATAATGTTGAGTCTAAATTGGTAGGATAATGAAAATAGGATAAATGATGAGTTCAACTAATAGGGTTATTTATAAATTATTATCATTCATATTGTCGTAATCACATTTAGTTGCAGTTAACTGATAACCGTTACAGTGGAGGCGTAGAGTAAATATTGCTCTCTGAGTGGAGGCCGATGATACATATTAATATATATAATATTATATAATCAATGGTATAAGTAATTAAATAATTGCTATCTGGTCAAACATTTTTGCTATTATGATTATGTTATCATAGCCAAACGTGATAAAACATTTTTTTCAGCAATTGATGATGTTTTGGCGGCAATATGAGGTAAAATATTAATTGTATTCGTCTGATGTAATATTTGAGTAGTATTATACTACTTCCATATGGGTCTTCTATAATAGAAGTAGTAATGTGTACTATATAACGACACGTTAGATGTTGCTTTTATATATTCGTTTAGTACAAGTAGGTGACTAAACGTCAATACTAGTAAAATATTAATATGATAACAACTGAATATACTCAGGGCCGTCCCGAAAGACAAATCATGGGGGGGTGGTTTGATTCATAATTTGCAAACTAAAAAAAAAAAATTTATTCTGTGATTATTCGAATATGTATAGGCAAATTTGTATACTGTTATAATATTATATATGATACATTGATAGGTAAAGTCTAAAATATTATAATAGTATAACTGTGTTGGACAGTTGGCAATCGGAAAATTAACTTATAATACCTTCATATTATTATAAATTACAATATATTATTATGATATATTTGGACTTAGTAGTATATACAAAATTATTAAAAAACTGTAAAAAAAAAATTATAATTTGCCGAGTGCCAACTGCCCAACTCAAATACCTAATGTAGGTATCAATGTGCCAACTGACATATACATATTATACGCTCAGGGGGGTGGGACACCCCCTAAAACCCCCCTTCGGAACGGCCCTGAATATACTACAATATTGTTTATGCAGAAAATCATATTGGGGTAAAATGGCTTAGTGGGTTTTGGGGTAAGAGTGCGCAGTATTTCATATATGATAATTGATTACCTACTTTTATAAACA